AAGGGAACAAGAAAGACTAACATGGCCCTATTCCTTTATACTTGCTTGATTCATTTCCATTATTTTATTAACTCATTCTTTTACAAATTTACCTTCAATATGGATATTAATCATCTAGTAAAAACATTCTTATTTTTCTGCCCCCAAGCGTCAGTTATACAAGCACACACGCAAAATGCTGCACAGGAAGGATTTAAAGAACTTCGCTAGAACAAAATAAAATTTTGCTAGAAACAGAAGGATTAAAGATCAAATCTTTAAAAATAATATTGCAGTCAATCTGGACATACAAAGATAAATTATATCTTTGTACCCTAAAAAGTAGCTGTAATTGAATAATTAAATTTTTACCTTACTTCAGCTGTCTCCTTTATCAAATTAAATATTAATACTTTTCTTCAATTTTTAAAAATAAAGGGACTTTACTTATCTCCTTTTTGCAGAGTCAGTTATTTTAATGCGTGCCCAGAGATCGTGGCCTTTTTCTCAACGTCAAGACTGAATTATTTTTCAAAAATGTATTGATCGAGCAAAAACCCTAAGCACTAGTATTTGTTAAATTAATTATATTTTAGAAGGCTGTTAAAACATATTTGATAAATCTGCTTGTTATAGTTTATCCTGACACTATAAAGGAAGGTTCTCATTTGTCCAGGTTTCCTTCGTCTTCATTCATCTATGGGTAATGCTAATCCACGTTACGATCACATCATGTCATGTGATCATACTGCAAAATAGGCAGTCATGCCAAAGGACTACAGGTTCCACAGGCTCATAACCAAGTATTTTTATTTACTTAAATAAGGTGAAAACTGAACTTATTTATTAAATTCAAATTAAAACAATTTTCCTTGTGCATCTGCTGAAAAATAGATGTGAAGAGAATGTTGTATTATTTAATTCCTGATGTCTCACTTTTGTTTTTTAAGGTAGCGATAATTGAACCTGGAGTCTAAAGCAAGCCAGCCAGACACTGTTTATCCCCATCCTCTTTTTAAACCTTTTTATTTTGAGATGAAAGTCTTGGTAAATTAGTGGCCTAGGCTGGCCTCAAACTTGTGATCCTCCTGCCTCAGCCTCTTAAGATGCTGGTATCGTAGGCGTCCAAGACCACGCTTAGCTAATATCTCACTTTGGTTGTTGCTGTTGTTATTGTTGTTGCTGTTGTTGTCTTTTTGAGACAGGGTCTCGCTATGCAGTTCAGGCTGGCCTCGAGCTCACTTTGTAGCCAGGCTGGTCTCAAGCTCACAGCGATCCTCCTGCCTCAGCCTCCCGAGGGCTGGGATTACAGCCGGGCACCACACACCTGGCTTATTTCACTTTTTTGACATGTAATTTAGCCGTCAGCTTCTAGGTAATGGCACAATCAATACACAGAGATAACGCCTCATGATGTCTCAGGACAGAATACACGAACGTTATGCATATAAAGACAAGAGACAGCTGGAACTCACAGCAGTTATTAAGCTTAAACAGCGTACCATTATCTAAAAAGTTAAAGCAACAGTGCCACAGGACAAGACTGAATAGCACATTATCAAATATTTGACATGCTGCCGTTAATGACACAGTAACTAGATCATCGTGTATTATGAGAAACACTGACATTAGAATCACATGCTGGGAAGCTTTATTTACAACACTTGTAGCAGTATTTAGGGCTCTCTTGTTTTGTCTTTAAGAAAAGCCTTTCCACAGTGCATAAAATCCCAGGTCCCACAGAGCATGCGGGGCTGAAGTACATACCCTTTCTTCTTGTAGGAAAGTCACCTATGGTTTGTGAATCAGTTCGCTCTAAACCAAGGGGCTTGGGTCTTAAAATTTTGGGACTTTGACCTAATTGGTAAAAAGAAGACTCTCTTAATATAATGTCATTTTTAAATTGGAAAATGGATTATATATTTAAAAACATCAACAGAGCCGTATGTAGAACTGTCACATCCAAAAGCATAAAACAAAAACACTGTAGAAAGCATTTCAGTCTCCTGCACAGTACACATGCTCAGCACAATGGAAGGGAAGAGGCTGCGTGCAATGGCATAAGCGGCGAAGGGGTTAGGACTGCAGGGGTTAGTGGGTAAGAACACTGCTAGTCATCCCTACACGGGAAGGGAGGAAAAGCGTGTGCCACGTCAGGGTTTCTCCTAACATGTTCACAAAGATTGCAAAATTGCCCTGCCCAAGCCCAGTTACATCGTTCTTTGAAGGCTGGTTTCCTGTGGGAAAGCATGCAGGCCCGCTTCCCTATGTTACTTTTCTCACTTGGTAGACATGCTTTTGAACACAAATCGGACTGTCCCTGTACCTCTGGATCCAAGTGCTCGTGGAGAGGCAGGCGACCACTGTAACACTTGCTAATATAAAACCAAAACCAACAGCAACCCAGATTCGTTTGTCTTAGATATTCAGCGGCTTCATCCCACAAGGTATTTGTATTCTGCTACTGCTGACCGTCTAACCTTCAACTTAAGTGCATCGCAACATAACCTCAGTCCCCGTCATTCTTCTGTCATTCAGCCTCTGCCATTATGAGGACTGCTGCAAACCCATACAAGACACTGGACTGGCCCCAACTGGTGGTCTCAGCCTTTTCCCATTAGAAAGGAGGTACAAGAGTGGCAACATCTCTTGGCTCAGTTATTCAAGCTTCCTTATTCTCAACGGAACAAAAACTCTTTTTCTGGAACTCATAAAGTGGAGTTGATATCTACCAGGAGGCAAAATTAGACATTTCTGGCATTAGCAGTGGTACCATCTTCTGAATCCTTAGGTATAAAACCTCAGAGCTATACTGTAAGAGTCATCCTCTTTGATCACTTTTGTATGATCTTAAAACACTAATAATCTGTCCATAGGGTTCTGAAAAAGAACCTTTAAAATGGGAAGTAATAGAAGCGAGCAAGCAGGTTTCAGGCCAAGGAGAAAGTCCCCCATGCCTGTGTGAGCACTGGCCTGCTGGCTGGAGTCCAGAGCAATCACAGGCTTGCTAGAAACAACCAGGAGACTCTTAAAGCTTGTGCTTAGAGAAAGAAAAACAAGGCAAGCACAAACCTACTCCCTGTGAAGGAAGAGAAAGTAACCCCAACAGATAAAACCAGAAACCCTATGCCTGTCTTCTTTTAGTCTTCTCCAGTTAAGAGAATGATCTTTACATTGAAAGGGACAGAGAAGAAATGGAAGAGGAGTCAACAGCCATGTTCCTTGAGAAGAGCAGAATTGTGGCGCTCAGTCCCGTTCAAGTCCTACTCAATGAACTGCGCTCCACAAAACCAGAGGAATCTATAAATAGCACAGAAGTCATATAGTCATTTGGGGAAGTCATGGCAATGTGGAAGGAGCCACAAGAATAAGATATAGACTTTTTTTCAGTTTTATGTATCTGGTATAGGGTCTTGCTATGCAGCTCAGACTCGTAGTGATCCTCCTGATTTCAGCCTCCCTAGCGCTGGGATTACAGGCGTGCGCCCCCACACCTGCACTCATTCACCAGCTCAGCTCGCCCAGGGTGCAGGGATGGCACAGCATGCGGGACCTGGAATCAAACTCTGGTCCCTGTGCTTGCCAAAGCAGGCTCTTAGTCGGCTGAGCTATCTCACCGGCCCTCTACAGATGGTTTTGAAATCACCTTCACCTGAACTGTGCTCTCCTGCGCCTAAACCATTGTTCTCTCGTTTTCATGCACAGCTTTAAAATTTCAGTCCCTCTGAGATTTTTTTCAATTCAGTATCTGTCACTGCTTTATTAATCAACGTCTCCCATTTCTCAAGTTAGAACACAAGTGAGGACTGCATGGAAAAGTAAATGCCACTTTACATAGGCACTAACAGTGATCACGTGTGCAACAGGCACAGTAAATAAAGACTTATGTAGCCCTTCAAAATGTCTTGCAACAAAGCACATCTAAACGGATTTTCATCTCACATGGAGCAGCAGGGAGCTGGCCAGGCCACACAAATGCTGCCTGTGGCACCAAAGTTAGAGCCTTTTACCGCACAGAGCTACTCACTCCGTTTTACTGGAGCCAATGTCTCACGGGGTGACCAAGCCTCAGAGCTGTGTTTGCCCTGCCCAGCCTCCAAGGTAGCTGGGACTGTGGACACGTACCAGTGTGCCGGGCTCATTTGCGATACTTAAATGTTAGATAGATATATGAAATCATTAGCCATCCCTGAAGGCCATCTTACATTCACAACTAGTGCTTCTGACGGGCCCAGGGAAGGCAAGTGTACAGTGTGACTGTGAGAATGCACTCAGTTAGGATCAACAATTTTTAGACACGTCACATGACCTAGGGACCCACAAGGCAATAGCAGACCCATGAAATCAGTGGGCTCTGGACTTGAGTCCCATTTCATCTTCTCTGTCTTTTTTCCAGCATATTAGAAAGGTGCTCTTTTCTCAGGGTATCCCTTGGTTTTCATAATATAAAAATATCAAGTAGGATTTTTAAAAATGCATTTATTTATAAAATTTGCATGTTTTCTGCTCCATGAAAAGCTTGTGGATGTGCTAGGCAAAAGCCACAACAAAGGAATGCTGCACTGACTAGTGCTGTGGTACTGAGGTATTTTGTTAGTTTTGTCTTGCTATGCCTTTCCTAACTTAATTGGCATTTATACTGCAAACAGAAATGACTATCATAACCAAGGCTGGGCATTCACCTATAATCTCAGCACTTGGGAGGTTGAGGCAGAGGGATCACTGCAAGTCCAAGGCCAGCCTGGGCTTCACAGTGAGTTCAAGGCCAACATGAACCTCATAGTGCAACTCCATCTCCAAAAAATCCAAGAAACAAGAAAGTCACATCCAAATAGCAGCACCCCCTGCATTACTGATAAAAGGAGGAAGTCTAATGTATGATATTGCTCAGCCCTATCTCCTCCTCTACTGTCTCTGTTACTAATTTCAATGATTTTCAGACTGTAAAAGAAAACTGAGAAGAGGCAATAGCATTAAACCAAACAAAAAATGAGCTAAGTTCAGTGGTATGCATGTAACCCAGCGATCTCACAGTGCGAGTAAACAGTGATTCACCTGCGCCTCCGCCAGCCTTTACACCGAGCCCACCTGACGTTCTAGACGGGGCTTGAAGAAAGGCTGCAGGATACTTTGGCAGATAGCGCTGAGCGGGAGTGAGACTGCCAGCCAGGCTTCACTCTTCTGGGCACTGTCGATCTCTGGATCTCTGCCCCTTAGAGCTCAACCTTAGAAATTCTCATCTCTGGTCCAGACCTTTCCCCAAGCTTCTACCCTAGGTCCCTAGTAGCTTACACACAGCTGAGGGATGTTCTTCCACATTCAAAGCATTCAAAGACTGCTCAAGACTGCAGTCTCCTGTGAGCCACACGGACACTCCTGTGTCTTAGCTCAGCGGCTGCTGCAGCGGAGGTCCTGCGAGCCACTGCAGATTCTGCTTTCTCTTGAACACCCCTATATTAGTTTTATTTTGTAAGAAAACGTCATTATCTGTGTTCACTAAAAAAGAATCTCTTCCAGGGCAGCCAATGTATCTTTCTTTAAACTTAGTAGTTTTGTTACCGAAGCCTGTAACGTGGATTAATGTACAGGCTGGCACAAATCAATCTAATTTTAATGGTCTGAAATATTAAGTCTTAAGAAAAAAAAAACTTTCACACTGTTTCCAGCTTCAGACAAGTATTTAATCAATATTTAATAAAAATTCAAAAGCTTTCATTTTACTTTGAAACAACCAAGAAGAAATTAAAATATGTGACCAAGTATAAGCTAAAGCTATTTTGGTTTTGTAAAATTTTCACCCTGCAAATTAAGAATACTTTAATACTTCAGGTTTTTCTTTTATCATATTTCTGTAATGACTGAAGGCATATGGAATGGAGTATTTTGATTTTTTATCCACTTGATAAATTTTTATTAAGCATATGTTAGCACATTTTATAATAAAGTGTCAAGGGCTGGGGAGATAACTTGGCAGCCTAAGTGCCTGTCTGGCGAATGCAAGGTCCCGAGTTCGATCCCCAGTACTACATGAGGTGCCAGCTCTCGAACCCCAGGCAAGCTGTGCCACCCCAGAAACAGGCATGGTGGCTCATGCCAGTAATCCCAGCACCAGGGAGGCTGAGACAGGTGGATCATTACAAGTTTGAACTGCACACTGAGACCCTGTATTTAAAAAAATAAGAAATAAATAAAGTGCCATCAAATATAAAAGTGAAGTGGTCCATATTGATTAAGAAGCATAAATTAATTTGTACTCTGATGTTATGATCATTTGCAAAACAACACAGGTATTTATTTGATAATAACTGTCTCCTCCATAAATCTGTGTACACTTTATATATCACAGAATTGCAGAACTTTAAAACTAACAATATTCTCATTTAGAGATTATCTAATTTTATATTTTAAAATATGGGAATTAATGACAACAGAGGTTAAATGATCTGTACATTCACACTCAGAGGAAGGGAGGTGGTGCTATAAATAGTATTAAAAGAAATGCGTTCTAGCCTTTTGGAGTGTTGGCCTGACATTTTCCTGCTATCCTGCTCTGTAACCTCATCATGATAGCCTACTTTAAAGACATAAGAAAATAATAAAAACCCTGTTATCTAGAAAACATTGGCCTCGCAGAAGAAGAAGTTCGCAGGGAGTGGCCACAGCCTCCCAGCTTTGCCCTCCTCCCCTTGGGCTCTCAAGCAGGAGGGCACTGTCCAGCTTACTGCCACCATCAGAGGCAGTCAGGTGACTTCCATGTCAAGGAGTCACTCCAAGCATGATAAAGGAAGCTGCCTTGCTGGACACTCTCTTCTTCATCAGTGTGGGCCCAAAGGGGAGCCAGGGTACGCAGCTCCGCC